ATGCAAGCTCCAAAGGAAGCACATTATGAGGCTGCCATTCGGGTACTAAGATACATCAAAATGAATCCTGGCCAAGGTATCCTCCTTTCTTCCAAAAGTGATCTCAAAATTCATGCTTTCTGTGATTCAGATTGGGCCAGCTGCCCTTTAACTCGCCGGTCAGTTTCTGGGTTCTTCATTATGCTTGGAACCTCACCTGTTTCTTGGAAAACAAAGAAGCAACTCACTGTCTCACGCTCCTCAGCAGAGGCTGAGTACCGCTCCATGGCTGCCGCGACAGCAGAATTGATATGGTTGAAGTCTTTTCTTGCTTCACTTGATGTTATCCATGATGATCCTATGGAATTATGTTGTGATAATCAAGCCGCTATACATATCGCGGCAAATCCTGTGTTCCATGAGCGAATTAAACACATTGAAATTGATTGCCATTTTGTCTGGGAAAGGTTGGTTTCTAAGACGATTCGAACTACTTTTGTTCGTTCTCATTTGCAACTCGCAGACATTTTCACCAAAGCACTTGGTCGTGTTCCATTTCTTGCCGTTCTTTCCAAGTTAGGCATTTCATGTCTTCATGCTCCAACTTGAGGGGGAGTGTTGGAATAGAAGATTCTATATGTTGTTATGATTTGCTGTGATATGTTGTAACCTGTAGTTTGTTAGGATATGTATAACTGAGTCCTATTGTAATTAGGTGTAGTTACTTATCTTTAGGAAGTTGTTTTACTATTTGGTAACAGACTGTTTGGTAACAGCCGTAACAGCCGTAACAACATATAGAATCTTCTATTCCAACAAAGCATACGCATGGTGAATACTATACACTATTTAATTGTAAACTCTGATATTATAATATCACTAATTAATCCTCCAAAGAACTAACCGTAAAATAAAACACATAAATAAATTTTATTTTATCTCTTAACACACATCCTTCACCTTTCATAGTGTGGGTATTCCTTTTCCTTAAAAAATGTGGAAAAAAAAGTATTCACAAAACTAAAATGTTTAAAATCAATTAGGCAGTAAATGATTAGAAAAAGCTTTTAAAGAAAAAAATTAGAAAAAATTAAATAATATGTAATCTCTCCTAGAAATTCTCAAATAAATTGAAGGGTCTATTCCAGTGTTTTGAAACCCGGCTCAGACCGGTCGGGTCCACCCGGGACTCGGTGACCTGGTGGGTTTTCCAGTCCGAGCGGGTAGTTTGACTGCTTCTGCAATCAACCTGGATTGGACCAGTTGACCCGGCCGAAACCCGGCGATCCGGTGACCTGGTTGTCTCGGGTTAGACCGGTTATTCCTTTTTTTTTTTTGGTAATTTTTTTTTGTTGATAAGAACTCTTGAATTAAATCATATTGATATTTTATGATGAATCTGATTAAAAGTAAGGTGAAAATAATAAGGTATTTTAGATTAGTGTAGTTCGTTTATGTAATTTAGTTGCATCTTATAATGATCTCATGAAGTTAAATGGTGATAAACACTGATAGTCTCATGATCTCATCTCAACGGTGGACACTTTTTTTTAGTGTATATTTCATGCATACTATTTGTTATCATGATAACGGTGTCACTTTTTTCTTAGTGTATATTTCATGCATACTATTTGTTATCATGATTTAATTAACCGTATCATGTCAAGCACAAAAGGTGCATTTAACTTATATTACAATTTTAATCCAATATTAGGATATGGTCTAGAGCTAGAAGCTTAGAAGTATATAATATTTGCTATCATTGAAAATCAATTTATTTTTTGAAACTCATTGATAATTTTCTTATGTGATTTCTTATTAATATAAGTAATATTTTTATATTTTTAATATGTGAACAGTAAATCCGGTTTAACCCGGTTGAACCAGTGACCCAGTACCTCGACAGGTTCGATGATCGGTCCGAGTTTTAAAACACTGATCTATTTTAACTCTAGTTGAATACCAGTATTTAATCCTACCTAAACTTTTATTCAAAAAAAAATAAAAATAGGTGGTTAGTTTAAATGCGAACGAAAAAACTAGTAGAATAAATTTTATTTTGGAGCCTCGACAAAAATTACTGAACATATTTTAATTCTTTAAAAAAAAATTTAATATAAATAATTTTTAAGGACTAACGTGAATCTTATTTAAATTTTAAAAGAATCATAATTTTAAAAAATTAAAATTTTAGAAGAATTGTAAGTCAAATTTTTTTTCTCAAAAATTAATTTGGGCCCATATTTTTTACTGAAGAACCAGAAAGAATATTTAGTCAAACTAGTATTTATAGTAATGTACCATTGTTTAGGAGTAACAAAAAACTAGTAAAGCTATATAAAATGATGGCCCATGTATTGTTCGTTTGGTCTTCGAATATCATCAATATTGTCTGTCGAACACTGTACTGGATTTAAATAAAGTTGAACATCTCACAACCTTGAACAGCATGTCAGCCACGTGGCAAATATGTTCGGACGCCGACAGAGACACGTAGTGGTTGAGGCAGAAGTTCAAAAGGTTAATTAATATCCGCCTGCCAACAGGGAGCTCTTAATGCTCATTCCAACCAACACCTGCCACATTTATATCCGTTTCCACTGTTATTCCTCGCTTCGATGTACTTAACAGCTCTATCTTTTTTTCTTTTTCTTTTTGAAAATATTAACAGCTCTATCTCAGCCCTTCATTTATTCTGAACTTATCTTCATATCATTTTTATTTTTTTGAATTACGGCCTATTACTGTCGTCCCTCGAGCTCACATCCTTAGAAATCTTGAGAGGATGTAAATTGCGGGATGTGCACATCGAGGCATGAATCGAACCTGGTGCTTTGGTGTATTTCCGCCACAAGACCCTAGATTTCAACCCTTTCCACTAAGCTTATGTCCCGGGAGCTATCTTTAGGGATGTGCATGGATCGAATCGAACCGAATTTTTTGAAAAATCGAACGAATTGGTTTAAATGGTTCGGTTCGGAAGTGGTTCGATTCGATTCAAAACTGGTTCGGTTCGGTTCAAAACCGGTTCGGAACCGGTTCGGGTCGACTATCTTTTGAAAAGAAAAAAATTTAAAATTTAAAAAATAAAGTTGTAAAAATTAATTTGGTTTGATTTGAAAATGGTTCGGTTCGGTTCGGAACCAGTTCGGTTATTAAACCGGTTCTAAAAATCGGTTCGATTCTAAAACCGATTCTAAAAATCAGTTTAATTCTTAAACCGGTTCTAAATATCGGTTCGGTTCATGAATCGGTTCTTTAAAAACCGGTTCGGTTCATGAACTAGTTTTTAAAAACTGGTTATTTTATGGGGCGGTTCGGTTCATGGTTCGACCCACTTTTTTGGTTATTTTGCACCCTCCTAGCTATCTTCATATCATTCTTGTTATATATCATAGGGGATTCTAGTAAAATTTCACATTATAAATTATGTGTAAAATTTTTGTATTAAATAAATAGAATTCAATTAAATATCAAAATTTCACATAACTATTTCTGAAATTTTAAAATGAAAGGATTCATTTCAATCATTGCAATGCTATTTAATATAAAAGAAGGGAAAACTATGTGCCATTTTAAAGGATGTAAAGTTATGTTATTTTTTTTTTTTTTTGTAAAGTTATGTTATTTTAAGAGAGAAAGAGATAGATAAAGGAGGAGAGAGAGTTGACAAAAAAAATAAAGATGTGGGTCTCACCTCTTTGTAAGAGCGAAATGATATAAGTTGTGTAATTTTAAAGAATAAACACTTTTCCCATAATTTTTTTTAAGCATTTTTAAATAAATTAATGATAATGATAATGAAAGATAAAAAAAATCTAAAATAAAGAGTGACAAAATTATTAGTATTATTAATTTATATATAAATAATAAACAACCTCTCATATAACATAATCGTGTAATTCACAAATCTCACCTTCCATTTTTTTTTTTTCCTTGAATCTCTTTTGCTAGCTAGCAATTTTATATCTCAGTTATTTTGAATGGAATTCAAATTTTATAACTGTTTTACTTAATTATTACTCATGATCCGAATGATTAACCTATTCCGGTAACATTTAAATTAAAAAAAAATGTTAACTTTATTATTTCAACTAAATCAGCCAAATATGTATTTTTGGATTAAATTTAAAAAATAATAATTTTCTTCAAAAAATTTCTCATAATTATGTATGTGAGAAATGTTAACAAAAAATAAAAAGTACAAATTTTATAAGGATCTATTTCGTATAAAAGAAGAATCTATCTCTTTGGTTTAAGAGAGAATTGGTATATTATTCATTTTTAACTGGCATTCTTAACCAATTATTCAATATTTAGTTTATTGATCATATATTGCAAATATGTGTTTTGACTGGTTATTTTTTTGTTTAAAGTTTAAACAATCAAAATGTTTAAGAAAATAATTTAAGTAAAAAAAAATATGCGTAACAATCCAAATAAAAATACGTAAGTGTATTGTTTAATATTTTCTTATTTTAAAGAAAGATTATGAAAATCAATAATTTTTTCTCTAGTTTTTTAAGTAATTAAAATAGGATCGATTTGATTAAGCTCTTAAAAAAGTTTTTCTTTAAAAAAACTATTATTTTCACCTTTGATAAAAGTATTTAAATAATTTTTTTTAAACAAAAGTGTTTTTAAATTTAAATAATATTTTTAAATACAAACGACAAACGAGAAGGTTAGTAATTTTTAAAATTCAAACTATCCAAATACATGCTTGTTTTAAATTGTTTTTAAATATTTTAAGAAAAAATAAAAAATAAATAATTTGATTAAAATAAATGAATATAAAGTCCATTAAATAAACACTATTCCTGGAAACACATTTAATGATTTTTAAAAGTAACAACATAAATAAATATTTTATTACACAGAATTAATGATAGTTGAAAATTGTCATGATAATAAAACAAAAAAGAAAAAAAAGTAATGGCGTTACGCTACCTTCCAATATGACATAGTCTTAATTAGAGCACCATCTCTCAACATTAAATAGACAAGACCACCCATATTACTTCTCCCACAGCTGTTTCTCATCTCACTCTCGTTCTTGAAACTTGAGCTAATCTGAAACAAACATATACCCTTAAAACATTGAACTCTGAGATCACAAAATCCACCACCCTAAGAAAGAAGATGAAGAAGCAGCAACAAAGTAGAGCTCAATTCTTGTGCCTATGTTTCTTTGTGCTGGTTGTGTTTGGTTCCATTGAAAAAGGCAATGGAGCAGATGATTTGGCTACCAAGTGTGCGCAAGTGATTCAGAAAGTGATTCCATGTTTGAACTTCGCGACAGGGAAGGCACCAGAACCAACAAAAGAATGCTGCGATGCAGCTACGAATATAAAGGACACTGCCCCTGTGTGCTTGTGCTACATCATTCAACAGACTCATAAGGGTAGCCCAGAAAGCAAAAGCATGGGTATTCAAGAGGATAAGCTCCTTCAACTCCCTTCTGTTTGTAAGGTCAAAAACGCCAACATCAGTGACTGTCCCAGTAAGTTCCCTCTTCTAATTCAAAGTTTTTTTTTTTCGTATCTTAATCGATTTCTCAAATAATTTGATTCGAGCACGGATTAGGGAGAGAAACTTTGGTGCTCTCCCTCTATTTAAGAGAAAGGGGTGCACCGAATTTTGGTCTTCATCGCCAAAGTTTCTCTCCATTATGGGGCGAATTCAAAACTTATGGTTCCTCTTTTATTACGTTATAGGAGAATTTTTTCTCTTATTATAGACCATTGTTGTAAAATTCGGCCCGACTCGGCCCGGTCGACCTAGAACCAGGTGACTAGATCGGTTTGGGTCAAGCATTGGACCGGTCATGCATTGACCCGGTCAAAACCTGATCAAACCCAGTGACCCGGTCAGGTCATGCATTTAAAAAAAAATCAAAAAATAAAAATTGCTTCATTTTGTCAAAAAAAAAAATACAACTCATTTTAATTTTTTTTTAATTTTATTTGTTAGGATACTCTTCAACAATGACCTCAAATTTTAGCTTCTAATAATGAAGAAATTTACGGAATAATATATTAAGAGATTATGACGTATGTCATTTTTAATGTAGTTGAATTTGAAAAATATGAGTTCAATGTCATTAAGAGGTATGTTTATGCGGATTATGAGTTGCAATTTAAATTGATATAGTAATAATATGTATTTTTTTTTATTTATGCTTCATGTTTTTTAGCTTATTTAATGAATTTTATTTAATTCATTTTAAATATGAAGAATATAATTGAATTTATATGTTTATATTTATATATATTTTTATATATCTATATATATACGGGTCAACCGGTCCGACCAATGACCCGTCGGTCCGACCCAGTAACCCAGTACTCCGATTGGGTTGGGTTTAATAACACTCTTATAGACATGGGTTTAATAACACTCTTATAGACATAAGATGTGATAAGTCTCATTTTTTATTAAAAAACAAAAATAAAAAAAAGTTGTTGCAAGTCTTTCGATCTATCACTTGTGGAAGGAAGAATTCTACTGAGAATTCTTTTCCCTATGATTAAATGAAACAAATTAGTTATCACTTGAAACAATAGTTATTCATCTAATTCAAGTTTTAATGCAACTATAGCACTAACTCTTTCATTTATTAGGCGAAGTTATCAACTGATGCAATTTCTTGTTTGCTTACATTTTTTTTTTTGAATTTTAATTTCAAACTATTGAATTTGTGGAACCTATTGAGTGACGGATCAATTGTTCAGTTGATAGGGTGATCAGAGTTTAGAAATTATTTATTTGCTTTACCATGCATATAGTATGATCTGAATTCGGTTAGCATTAATTATAAAATTTTATGAGCTAGTTTGATGAGTACCATACCTTTTTTTTTTACGTCTCTTTAGTTTTTTCTTTTCTTTTTCTTTTTATCCATCATTTTAGAAAACTAATGAAACATTATCTATTTTTTTAATCAATGCAAATGAACGTCCGAGCTTTATTCTTGTGTGTGTGTGTGTGTTTGATTTGTGTTTCTAATTATAATCAATAAAAACAAAACAAAAAAGATTTCACAGCTTTTAAAACTCACTTATTATCACTGTTAATTTCTCTTTCACTTTTTTAATTCATGTATGAATATTTTAAAGTTTGAAAGAAAAATAACAAAGTAGTTGGTTACTTTCTTTTGTTTTATATAAGTCGTATTTTTTTGTAAATATTTTTTTACCCATTCAGTGAATTTTAGAAATTTGATTTATTTCCTGTCTTTATTTTTAGTTTATGTTTTTACTGATAATTATAAAAATATATTTTATTTCTTTTTTTATGAATTTATAAGAAAAATAGAGAAAATAATAAATCAAAAATAGTGAGACGATTTTATAATTATTTAAAAAAATATATTAAAGGGAGATAATAAAAAGTGTATCTTCTCTTTCACATTTTCTCTCTCTACTTTGTTAAGTTTTTCAACAATTCGAATTGGAAATTCGACTTAGCACGTAGTTCTAATTTAAAATAGAGGAAATATTCTTTTTCAAAAAAACACGGGTCTTATTTTAATTATTTTAAAAAAAAGTTGATTTGTCATCCATTAAAAATTCAAATTAGATTCAATTAGTTGAATCGTTGTTCCTCAAAAATTCAAAAAAACTTATGATAATTTCTCAAAAAGGCTAATATGAATTTATTTTGAATTTCAAAAAAATCAAGTGTTAATTTAAAAAAAGTAAATTAAATTGGGTTCCTTATTTTTTCGTTCTTGAGGAAAAAGAGTATTTACTCTTTAAAATATGTAAAAAGAATAGTAATGAAAAATGATGTGACTTCTCATCTAGATTGGGTAGGAGGATACATATTAATTGCGGACTTCTCATCTAGATTGGTTAGGAGGATGGTGCCATAAATATTCATTACTTTCAAATAAGATAAAAAAAACAAAAATTAACGCTGTCAGATTCTTGGCATTAATTAATTTTATATATGACCAAAGGGAGATTCTTAGGGTCGTATTGTTCATTTAATTATTAGCTTTTATGTTTTGAGCTGATTAACACTAACTTTGTGTACAGTCATCACTTGTGTATAGTAGAGTAATAGTGTACTGTATCTGTATGTTCATAAGTCATAATTGTTTACATTTTTTTTTTAATACAAAAAAGTTTAAGTTGAGTGAGACACTGCTATTTCGCTAGGTATCCCACTAGGGTCAGGGAAGACTTCCCAACCTCTTTGAGGGGAAGGATTACATATCACCCACCAACAAAATCCTCACATCGGTCAGCGGAGTTTGAACTCACGCCCTTGAAGAGTATGGACCAAACCCTTAGCCAACTGTGCCCACCTTTGTTCGCCAATTGTTTTCAATTTTATACCCGCTTTTGTATATCTCACCTGAAAGAAAGAAATCCAAAGTACTTAAAGTGTGAATTATTAGGGAAAATTTAAGTAATTAATGACCAATTATACATGTGAGTCTTTCTTAAAAAGAAATGCTAATATATATATATATATATAATATGATTCTTGTGGACAGAACTTCTGGGACTATCTCCAAATTCCCCCGATGCTGCTATCTTCACAAATGCTTCAAAGGCAACTCCTGCAACCGCAGTCCCAGAAACTTCGACCCCACCGAGCCCAAATGGTTCGTATGGAAGTATGCTTAGACCTCCTATGATTGCCGAAGTGATGGCGGTGGCTTTGGCCATTGTTGTTGTTGCAATTCCAACCACATTTGTCAGCATATACACATGATGGGGGATTGAATGCTTCACCTAATTACTAAGCTAGTTGGGTGTGTGTTGCATCTGTTTTCTTTAGGACTTTGCAACCTTAGAATTAAATTGGTTTGCATCTATGGCCTGTTTTGGTTTCTCGAATTTTGGGACCTGATTGCCTTTAATTTCCCTTTATCGTTGACTTGTTTCTTTTCTGCTGCTTCCTATAATTAATATAATAGATCACTGGTGAAAATTCGGAGATTTAAATTGTTTGCTTACTCTTAATTTTTCGTTTGGTCAATCTAGACCTTCTTGGATTTATATGAACATTATATATCCTTTAGGAGCCGTTTGGTACACGGATTTTTTTCCGGATTTCAGGGAAATTGAAATTTTTAAAATTTTAAATTTCCAGATATTATCGTAAACTGAATGTAAAAATCATATTTTTGAAAATCGAAATTCCCGGACAAATAAAAAAAATTTCTGTAACAAACGTCTCCTTAAGGATTAATAATGTTAGATTTTTTATTTATTTATTGAGATCAATGGGAAGACGCTGCCCCAAAGTAATATGGACGAATTTCAGAAAACATTAAAGATGAAATGGAAAAAGAAGAAAAATACGTTGACAATGTACTGCGATTATCAAATTATAATTTCTTCAAAACTTTGACAGTTTCCAATTTTATGCTTTGTTTGTATATTTGGGAATTTAAACATCGCATTCAGGCCCTCTAGACCACCCTAAACGTTGTCTGAAAGTAATACGACGTGATGCAATTTAAGGTTATTGTGTTTTTTTTTTTCCTTAAAATTGTTTTGTAAAATAGTTATATATGTTTTATGTGTTTTTTTTTGTTTTGAAAATTAAAAGTCAAAATGCAAAAGAAAAATAAGTCAAACATTTCTTTAAACTTGATTCTAGAAATAAAAAAAGTTATAATTTTTAATTCTTTTTTTAACAAAATAGGTCTTATTAAACAAATTTTTTTTGTTCTAAAAACCAAAAAATTAATAATATTAAAACAGGTCTTAATCACCTCAGAGCCTTTAAAAAACCTGTTCAATCACAATTCACAAATATCGAATCTGTTCTTTTCCTTTGTTTTTTTTAATAAAAGCTGGAAATAATCACTGTTAGATTAAGATTTTACAAATTAAGTCAACTTTTAAAAATCATACAAGCTATTTTTTGCATATATCATCTTATATTAAAAAAATGAAAGTTGATGAAAATAATTCCAATAATATTTACGATAGTCGAAAATAGCTTAACAGATAATATTGACATTTATTGAAGCACAATTTCAAACATTAATAAGATCATTTTAGATTGCAGTAGTTAAGGAGAGCCATATGTTAACAGAATAAAGAGCCTTATATTAACAGAATTAAGAAAGTTAATAAGAACTAACTCAATTAATAATTGAGTCCATTTTTTCTAAAATTACTTTAGACAATTTTGTCTAAAATTTACCGAAACGATGTCATTTTGAGATAAAAATAACGATATATTTGTAATTTTAATTTATTTCATGATTATAATAGTTTTTATCATTCTAATTTTTTAACTAACCCCAAAATAATATTATTTCGATAAATATTAAATAAAATTATCTAATATAACATTAGAAACTTTTTTCATTTAAATTTTCATACAAAGTCGTAGATTTAATTATTATTATTGGTGATGAGAAATAGAAAAGCATAAAAAGACGAGTCAATGTTTTTTTTTTTTTTGGTAAGAAGGCACAATTGAAATTTGGGCTTAACCTGAAGCTCGGGCTAAAGTTTCATTAAGTATGGGCCTGTGAATGCAAAGGGAAGTGAGTTTTTTTTTTTTTTTTGGTATTCAAGGGAAGTGGAGTTTTACATTAATATATGACATGGTAAGTGATGTTGACATTTACCATGAATGACAACATTATTTACACATTAATATATGACATGGTTGGTAAGTGATGTTGTTTTTTGGTATTCAAGGGAAGTGGATGTTTTTACATTATTTAGATTAACTATTGTGATAAATTTATCTCTTGATATAAAAATATATTACATTTATATACATTTTTTTCTCTTCACATGAAATTATATGGAATTTATATTTTTACATTAACCCTCTTCACTATTTCGGCTTTTTGGGTTTAGTTTTTGTGCATTGGAGAATCACAACCTTGAACCATTTACAGCGAAGGAGAAGAAGGATCTCTCTGTAGGTTTTCCCTCGCTGGCACTGCTCATCGCCATGTCTCAGGTAAACCCCCTCGCATTCCTTCACTTCTCCGATTTTCTTCGATCCATCGTCTTCTTTAGTTTCGATTTTGATCCCTAACACAATCGATCTCGCTTCATCTTGGGGATTTAGGGTTTTGTCAATTATCCGTTGAAATTTTGATTCCTTTCCTTTTCGAATAAATTATGCTTTGTATTTTTTTTATTTTTTTTGAAATTTGCTTCGTATGGAGATTTATCTATTCAAATCGTGATGCGTAAACTAATCTGATTGACGTTTTGAAGCTTTTTTTTTTTTTTTTTGTATGCATTGTCTTGTTTGCATCCACCCTATGAAATCGGAATCTTATCCTTCTGTTTGGTTTTGTAGGTTGATAACAGAAATTCTTCAGCTGCTAAGCGTGCTAGGACTGATGGTGCGTCATGATTTTTTTTTTTTTTTTTTCGTTTTCTCTCTCTGATGTTTATGCGTAGTTCGATATTGCTGTTGATACTTGAAATTATCATGCGCAATTTTGCATACTGTATTCAATTTATACACTGGTAGGCACATTTGTTAACTTTCACACTCACCACTGTGAAGTTCGTGGAAGATGTATTATTACACTATTACGCTAACACACTGGTGATACGCAAAACTCTCCTATATGGCACGGGGTTTCCATCTGATTCTCTGGTGGACTTTAATTGCTTTCTGTTTGTAGGTAGTCGTAGGGAAGATGATTGGACATGCCCCAGCTGTGGCAATGTCAATTTCTCTTTCAGGACAACTTGCAATATGCGTAATTGCACTCAACCAAGGCCAGCTGATCATAATTCGGTATGATGTTATCTGTAATGTCACAGTACTATTTTGAGAATATGATTTTCATCTAGCAAATGATTTACAAAAGGTTCATTTATTTTATAAAATTGTTATCAATTCATGTCTGTATTCATCCCCCCTCCCCCCCTCTTTTTTTCCTTCTCTAAATCTATGTTGCTTATTAGGTTTTTTTATATCCTATTTTCTATTCATTCTTATGTCCCTTAAAATTTTATTCCTGTATATAGTGGAAATACAGGGTATGGAAATTGATTGTTTATGCATGAATAGATTTTTTATACTCTGTGTGCACTTCCTGATGAGCTTATGGTAATGTCGTATCTCTTATGAGTTTTGAGTAATGCAATTTAGCTGGACATGGGCATTGGTGTAAGCATGTTCTTTCTTGTAAAGCTGCTTTTATCATAAATTTTATAAAGAGCCTGTTTGGCATATCTTTGTTTTAAGCTAAAACTTACTTTTAAGCTAAAGTTAAAACAAAAAGCTTAAAAAATAATGTTAAAAGCTGTTTGGTGATTATATAAAATTGTTATGAGGGTTTTGAAGGAGGGAAGATGAAATAATCTGTTATTAGGATGGATTATTAAGGTAAAGAGTGAAATTGATAAATACAAATTTAGAATAAGGGTGAGAACTCTAAAAAGCTAGTATATGGGCCCGTTTGGATGAGCTTTTTTTCTCTCCAAAAGTTGCTTTTTTTTCTTGAAAAAAAACACTTCTCATTTTTAATCCGTTTGGATGTCTGCTTTTAAAAAAAACATAAGTCACAAAAAAAGTCAAAAACCTACTTTTTTTAGAAGCTAAAAATTTTAACTTCTAAAATAAGCATAAGTCAAAAATTAATTTTTTTTTTTCAAAAACTAAATATTTTTATAAAAATATAAATAGCTTTAACTTTTGTAAAAATCACTTCTAAACTAAGGAAGAGATAAAAGTTACTTTTTGGAGAAGGTGAAACAAACGGGCTCTATATCTTTAAAGGCTCCTTTTGGGAGCTTTTAGCTTTTGCTTCTTTGTTCATTATAACAAAAAGCTCTTTTATAATAAGAGCTTTTGTAAAAACGTGTTTGGCTAAATTTGTACTTATAAGAAGATAAGCTAAAAATAAGACTTTCCAAATAGGCACTAAGTATTCTGATGGGAGTCGTCCTTTGGTAAGAGTTTTTATGTTGATGCGTTGCTGGGATGCAATTAAATCAGCAATTATATGCAGTTATAACAGTGCATAATATTGATCATTGCAGTTACATAGGAATATTAAATAGTAGGAGTAACTAGAAGGTAGTCAGTTAAACGGATTGTAAGTGTGTGTAAATGCGAGAGACCAGTAATGTAACACCCGGTTCTAGAAACGGTTTGTTAACATTACGTATGACATTAAACGCAGTTACAATCACAGCAATTGAATTAATGTACGGATAAACTTTTTCCTTTTTATTGATAAATTCTTTTGCTTAAAATTAATTCCGTAATTAAAACAATTCCAATAAATGTGATAATAACTTAATCTATATGTAGAACACCTAATGTAAGTTTTATTTAGATAGTGTGCTAAGTAGTCCCCTTAGACCAACAAGGCTTAAAAACTCATTTTTATCGTTATTCAACACTAAACACCTCCACTTGCAATGCAGTTATTATTGCAGTTATATACAAATATTAAATAGTTGGGTGTGAATCCTCTCATATTTTATTTAACATGACCATGTCATATGGGAGGATCCTAAGAGTGAATCAATATTGATACAGGAAGAGAGAGAGAATATGAATATTGGGATATGAAGTTACAAAATCATCACCGTTGATTTGTTTATTGATGGTTAAGATTTTGTCACATGAGAGGATCCATTTCCTAAATAGGCAGTTAATTATAGGCAATTATATGCAGTTACAGCAGTGCAGTTAATCATTGCAGTTATATAGGAATATTAAATGGTAGGAGTAACCAGAAAGTAGTCAGTTGGACAGATTTTAAGTGTGTAAGTGGGGGAGGTCAGTAGCCTCTCAAATGCTTTTGATGTATCGCTTAGTACTATGTATTTCATGTATTTTCATGTATTTCATGTAATATGTAATAGTATTATCATTGTAAGACATTTACTTCAGAATTTCGCTTCCTACATCTTCTATTCTAACATATTCATTAACCTCCTTCCAGAAATCTGCTGCCAAGCCTCTACAAACTCCACAGGGTTATTCATCCTCAGCTCCTTATTTAGGTTCTAATACACCCTCTTCAATATATCTTGGTGTCCCACCTTATGGGTCTTCTCTATTCAATGGAGCATCAATTCCTCCATATGATGTTCCATTTTCTGGAGGATCAGCATATCACTACAATTATGGAAGTCGCCTTTCTGCTGGCAGTCCTTATAGACCATTGCATTTACCTGGACCAACACCCTACCCAAGTGGATCCATGATGGGAAATGGTATGTTTTGTTTTCCTTTTTTCTATCTTTCAAGTCAATGAAGTTTCTTAAATCTGAAATATTATGTTTCTTTATCTTTTTTAAAAATAATTTAAAATAATGAAGGAAAAGATTAAAGGGGGAAAAATGAAGAAGCAATTGGAATTTGATTCTTGAATTGATAATTGTTGATTTTATGTTACTGTTGCTTCTGTAATATTATATTTTGTTGTTATGCTCCTGTTGTTGTTAATACTAACCTTTTTGTGCAGGTGGGATTTATGCGATGCCCCAGCTGTTGGATCGGTATGGCCTGGGTATGCCTATTGGACCTGGAACAATGGTATGATGCCTTAATTAGTTGAAGAAGCTAGATTTTATTAAATTGTGTAATTTCTTGGGTTTTGTTACAAAGTGGATTCAATAGTTTTAATTTGCCTAAGCAGGGAGCTAGGCCAGGATTTTTTCGTGATGAGAAGTCTCAGAAAAAGGGCGCAGGTTTGTTATATTTAGCTTATGTCTATCTTGGTTCAAATAGAAGTTTCTTGATGCATTTTTTTCTCCCGTCCCCTACTTCTCCACCTAGATGCAACTCGAGACAATGACTGGACATGTCCAAAATGTGGCAACGTCAACTTCTCATTCAGAACTGTGTGCAACATGAGAAAATGCAACACACCCAAGCCTGGATCCCAGGTCTGCTTCATTTATGTATTATATGCAGATTGATCGTCACTGATTTGTTTATTACCTGAAACAATATCATCACTGCTTAAAATTTGTGATTAATATTTAACATTGTTGATATGAATATTGTGCTGCAGGCCTCAAAATCTGACAAAAACTCAAGTAAGTTGCTTCCCACATCTGTGTCTACTTTAATGGTGCCATTAATTGATACAAGAGCAATAGTTGATAATATGTTTGTTTATTTGTAATTGTATTTCAGAGCAAAAGATGCCTGAGGGAAGCTGGAAGTGCGAAAAATGTAATAACATAAACTATCCTTTCAGAATCAAGTGCAACAGACAGAATTGTGGTGCTGACAAGCCAGCTGAGTCAGAAAAATCTCCTTCACCAGCTCCAGATCAAAATGATCAGGTTTGTTATGTAAAATATTTTCATTTTGCTAACCTTCATTCCTTGTTTCAACAGTTATTGGTTTTCCAAGAGCTGCTTTGTAACATAATGAACATTTTTAAATGGCAAGCTGTTGCAAAGTGTTGTTTAAGTGGATTCTTTGGAAAAGATTCAATTTTGCTTCTTTTCATTTGGGATCCTTTATTACGTCTGACATATATACCCTTTTAATTTCCTTTGCATCTATCCATTGCAATCTTTAATTTGCAATTATTTACTGTTCCAGTGAGTACTAGGACATGTTTGAGGGTTGAGAAGGTCCAGAGTTGTCATCCAGCATTGCTCAATTTGGGTGTCTGACAGTCAGTCTTGTCGTCCTCTATGTCGCAGCAGTTGTCAAGTCACTCACCTTCTCTTTATCTGTGTCAAGTTGTTGTATTAACTGAGATGGTATTTTGGTCTTTCTGGATTGTTATGATGCATGTGTCAGCCAGCTTTCCTGGCAGAAAGGTTATTGCAGGTTCCAGTTTTAAGTTTTCTGTTGGTTCTTAACTGTCTGTGTTTAAGTGTAACTTTAGATGAATAGATGCCTCAAAAGCATGTGGAGATTCCAAGTTTTTAGATTCTTAAGGGTCACATTATAGTTTTGGGTAGTTGAAAAAGTGTCTTCTTGCTATCCTACCACTTTTAGGATGTATGCATCAGCATTGCAGAGGCCATTTTTTTCGTGGCATTGAATTGATGGACAGTAGATTATTTTTTAGTTGATCCTAGGCTTTTTCTAGGGTCATTTAATTTAAGCACCCTCACTGAGGATTAGGTTTTTGGGAGTCCTTCATCTGGTCTTTACTCGGAATGCTACCCTTTATGAAGTTTCTGCTGTCTTGCACTTATTTTTTTATTTTCCTGCATGTCTGCCTTTGACAAATCACTATCAAGATAGTTTGGTAGAAATTTTCGTTTAGTTTGAAATTTAAATGAGGATGTCAAGTGGGTTGTTAGTCCTGTCAATCACATATTAAGTCAATAGGCAATGTAGTCGTATGAATTATTCTCTACTCAGTAACTATTATAGGTTTTGAAGATGTGTACAAATTGGTCTCCTATGGAACTCGTATCACGTTAGTCATTCTTGTATTTCAATTTAGTCCCTAAGGACTAATTTGATACAGGTTTTGTAAATTTAACGATTAACTCGTATACCTTAATAAATTCAAGGACTAAACTGAAAGATAGTTTCAGGGATTTGCATGTTTATTCTTTTTAAGTATTCATTGGAGTTCTTCTGTATACGATTTTGGACCTAGTCTAAGCAGAGGACGGTTGGGTAGAAATGAAGTAAATCGGAATTGTATTCCAAAGAAGCCATCCATGGCATAAAGCACTTTGTTCTAGGAGGACGCATTTGAAAGAAACGGATGAAGAAGGTAGAATTTCTTGATGAACGAAATGGTAGAAATCTTGTAGAGGGTTCCTCGTGATTGGTCTCGTTACGTAATCAGCATTTTATATGGAAAAATAAGTTTAAATTTGATTTTTTTGGTAGGATAAAATTTTGCTAATAAAATGTATATTGGGATAACTTATGAAATGCATGTCTGATTAAATTACAATTAATATTGCCCTATTTGTCTAATTATTTTTCGATTTTACTTTGGAGGAAGCGACTGATGAAAGTTGATACTAGAATCTATTCTTGAAGCCCTTTAACACATTAACTGAGTTATTCGGTGATAAGAAAATTAAAATTTCAGTATCATTGAGTGATTAAAGACCTGTTTATATGAGTTTTTTTATATTCAAAAGTTATTTTTTTTCAGTTAAAAAAAATATTTTTTCACTGTAAGTTGTTTTGATGTTTGCTTTAAAAAAGTGTAGAACTCAAAAAAAAAATAAGTTAAAAATCTTTTTTTTTTTAAACAAAATTTTAACTTTTTAAAATAGTAGAAATTAAAATTCAAATATTTTTTTTTCAAAAACTTAATATTTTTTAAAAAAATTTAAATAGCTTCAATTTTTATAAAAAATATTTTTAAAATAAACAAGATATAAAAGGTGATTTTTTTTTTAAAAGGACAAACAAATGGACTCGTAGACTTAGTATTTATGACCAAATTGACTAGAAACCTGCAATTATTGAAGGGTATCTCATTACCCAGAAAACGATGCTTACAAAAATGCAGTTCATGTGGGCTCTACTTTTTTCTCCTGGAGTTAAATAATAGACTTCACAAAACCACATGTAGAGTAGTTCTTTTCATTAAATTATTTTTGTTAATGACACAATTACAGGTGTATTCCTTGAATTTATTTTTGATTCATTTTCAATTATATTTGATTTTAACTTATTAAAAGAATATGTATCTACTTATGCAAAAGTTTTTTCCTAAACTCCAATTTGTTATGAAAATTATGAATGTACTTATGTTGTTAACACTTAACACCATCCCGCTTGTTCCTAAAATTTACATATAAATTTAAATTTTTCGTGAAATAATATAATATACTATTAATAATAAAAAAGCATGAACATATGCTAGAGGTGCCGAAGCTCGTAAAATAAAATTAAAGTAACATAGCGCGAAAGAGTCTTGGTACTATAATTCATTTGTGGATATATTTACCACATAAATTAGTCTACAGTTATAAATCCAAAAAATAAAAAAGCCACTCTTGTTTTCCAATGTTTTAAATGTACTTGTGTGTCCAACAATAAAGTCAAGTGGTGCCGAAGTTTACATATGCTAGGGGCATAATCCAGATAGAAAGGTGAGATACAAACCTTAAACAACAGCCTCGATTTCTACAACGTAAAATATCGTAAGTGGCGCGTACAGATGCTGGACATAATATCATTAAGATATGGAGACATACGAGGTTAATTAGTCAAAGATTAAATGACCGCAACAAAAGGTACATAAGTATTGGAGTTATAAAGTAAACAGGCTTCACTGTTCAGAGAAAATGGAGTTATCCTATCAGCATGCAAACAAGTTTTCCGATTGGAACTCCATTTCAAAAAACAAAAACATAGAAAAACGGAAAGTAAACACACCCTGACATTGAAACAGACGATTAAGCCCTACAAACACTTAAACTTGTATGTGACTTCATCATGTTGAAACCATTTGAATCATCACACACTCGTTAATCTAGCTGGTTGCAAGGAAAACCTGATTCATAAGGTGTGCTAAACAGCTGAAAGTCTTGAAAGCGATTGGTATTATCACAATCAGAGTATGAGATAGACATGCTGGAATTGACTGGTTGTTGATCAGTGTGCCAATATTCTGATGATGGAAAAGCTAAGCGCTGTGTCATTGACTGAGTGATCCGAAAGGAGTGTTCTAGGGGAAGGGACTTAGTCTCATATGCACCCCATGAATTGGTTGACAGAAGAGAGAGAGCACGGTTAACATCTTGTGCAGCACTTGGATCAGACGAGGTAATGGGATCTTCTATACCTGCAACATGTATTTTATCAAGCGAAGAATGATTGTTTCTACCAATAGGTTAAAGCCTTGATCGTGAAATCAGTGTTAAACAGTGGCGTAGCCACATCCAACCCATTTGTCGCCACCTAAATAGAAAATCAAATACTCGATACAAAGTAATAACAAAATCATCTAAATGCAAACAAATAATAAGGAACATGTATAATATGGTTATTTTTGTGTTTTATCTTTTTTTTTATCCTGTATATTTTTTGTTGTGCTTTATTCTAATAGTTATATTATTTATTCTTACTCCTATTATTTAAAAAAAAAACACTTCTAAAAGTAATCACAAAAATGATTACTCGTGTGTCATTGCCTAAAAAATACTATATTATCATTTAATGATGCTTTTATATTTCAAAAAAAAAAAATTTACAAAGTCAATATATACAAAAAATGTTATTTGCACAATAATCATGAAACAAATTTTAGAATTTTTCAAAAAACCCAAAATCAATCCAATCCAAACCGAAAAAATTGGATTGGATCGGATCGGATTTGAAAAAAAATCCGAACCGAATGGATGATTACTTGATCAAACCGAAGGAATTGGATCAGATGATTTTTGCTTCCAAAACTGATCCAATCCAGACCGCGAACACCCCTATCGTCCCTCTATGTTAATGTTATTCATAGGTCACGACTAGGGATATAAATGAGCCAATTTAAGTCAAACTTTGGCTTTGATAGCCTAAGCCTATGTAAAATATTTGGAATCTATACTGGCCCATTAGCTTATTAAATACTTGATTAATGGCCTACCATATTATAAAAAACTAAAAAAACCGAATACGGACTTGTAAGGCCTACCAAGTTGCAAACTAATGTTTGTAGGCCCACATCAAATTAAAAAATAAAAAATAAAAAAATTTATTCACAAAGACCACATGAAATCAATTTTCATTAACATCACATGACTCTTTCATTAACATCACATGAAATAAGCTTTCATTAACATTACATGAAATAGTGTTATCAAAGATCATATGAAAATGTGCATAAAAATCACATGAAAATTTCATATATGTATATATAATTTACACTTTCTTTACTAGTTTTATTTTATATTATATTCTAAATTTTTATGCACGTTAGATGAAGTTCCGGTTCTTAGAGACTAATCGAGTTTTCAAGACAAGGTACAGAGAGAGACAGAAAATGAAAATTAGAGAGAATGTTCAGAAAGAAAAAGTTCGATAATATTGATTGTAGTTAAGATAATTTCAAAAAAAAACACACAAAAAACAAAACAGTAGCCAATGTGTAACTGCTATGAATTTCCAGTTCTCAGAGACAATTTTACTTACATCTCGTACAATATATATGTAAAACGCTGGGTGTTAGGAATTAATATGGTCAAAACAAATGTTCAAGTGATCAATGAACTATCTAAATTTAATGAGATATCATAAGGCTCAATTATTAAGAAAGTGGTGAACAACCTGGAAAAATACTCTTGGTTGGAAAGCTTTTGGATGTAAGAAGACCACTGGAATCATCAGAAAGCATAGTGATAGTACTTGGTATCTTATTGAAGGCTTTTGCAGGCTTCATGAGGAAATCTTTTGTCTGGGGGAGCTCGCTGCGGTGTGTGTCTTGCCAGGTTAAATTTGTAGCAGTCCTTGAAAATGAGAATGGGCTCATTATTTGTCTCCCATCTGCAGAATAAACACAAATTAGATAGATGATTATAGTAATACTCTATCATCATGGCATGAGTTTTTAGTTCCATCATGGTATCACATATCAGAACATTCAATACTTCAGTGTCAGTTCATAAAAAAAGCATACAAATAATGTCGCTTGATTGACTGGTTGGATGTTCCTGCTTGGTTTTGTAAGTAATAATGTATTTCTAGAGTAGAAGAATGATCTGTCTAAAAAAAATTTAAAAATGAATTTCAATAAACTACGACCTACATAGTAAATTAGTGAACAACTAAACTTTGTTATTGTTTCGTTTGAATTTTGACATGGGAAAAAATATTCAAAGTTGTGTTTTATTAAACCTGGTTTATTTAGGAATCTCTTACTCATACATGTAGTAAGTCATGCTCTTGAACTGTCAACACTCAACTCTAAAAAGACCACAATACTTAGTCTGAAGAGACCACAACACTCAACTCTAAAATATTCAAACTTTGTTATTGTTTTATTCAAAGTTGTGTTTTATTAACTGTATTTCATGTCGACATATTAACATAGCACATGCCTTGCTTCAACTAAGTGTGTGCTATCCAGCTTCCTAAGACTAAGGCACTTTATTGTGTCTATGCCTTTTACCAAGAAACAGGTTATAAGAAATATATATCTCCGCATAGATCATCAATATTAAATCGATCAAGCAAGTCATTAATACAGTAATTAAAAGGCTATTTTTTGCATCCAAGAGGACACCAAAATTTCCTTTATTCATATGTCACAAGTTTTCAAGCAGAAATTGAAATAAACTGCAAACCCTCGGCACATGTGAACAGCAAAACAAGTAACTGTTGCCAGTTAGGACCATTTATGATTCTGAAAAAATGGGAAAACTATTTAAAAGGAATTTCTTATAAAATAATTACCATGAAGGAAAATTGGGCCAGATTATTGCACAAAATCAACACATTATTTTACTCAGAATCACCACTTTTTGTTCTTCAATTTGTCTATATTTTTATCAGGAGTTTCATTCTTATAATTCTTTCAAAATATCTACTATGCAACACAAAATTGAAGAAAACTGCAAAATTATGTCAATAAGCAGGATAAAGCTAATGGATTTTTTAAGAGTTATACCATAGGGTGACGAAGACAAGATTGATGGATTTAACTGGACTGCTTCAGGCTGAGGTTTGCGGCGCCTTGCATTGTGATCTGAAAGACGTCGTCTGCAGCTTCTTTTTTTATCATCAAACTCTGACAGAGCATGGAACCTTCAATTTCATAATTCAAGTGAAAAATTTTAATCAATTTATTCAACATGAGCCAGAAAGACAGCAACCTCAATCTGATTGACTAATCTTTATTCATAATAATGTGCTTGAGAACTAATGTGC